GCTTTATTGTATACGTAAATACATAGGACTCTCCTTCAATAAACCCGTCCCCTTCGCAACTGCGATTGAGGACATAATTATATAGTCATAGCAGCCCCAATGCTTTTCCGATTTTTCCTAAGCTTTTTCCTTTCCACTCCCTCAGTTATTGATAGCTTATCTGTATTTTCTGGCACACGACAAAGTAGCTAAGCTGTTGAGCCGAGGGAAAAAACTCGAGTCCCTTGAATATCGTGTGTCAGTCCTAATGCGTTCAATGAGAATGACTATTCACTTTTACCACCTTCTACTACGCAGCTCTGCTCATAATATATTAACGATTATCGGTACGTGCCTTGCAAGTGTTTTTGTTTCACGCTTATCTTTCCTATAATCTGCCCTGTATATCCGGCACTGCCCCGATGGTAAGTACATCATTTTATTGATCGAACGCACTTTTTTGGGTTTATTTGAGTAATCACAAGCCACCGATCTGTAGGTGTGTACGAGTTCAAATATTTTACGCCAACGTGATGATGTTTTAATAAATACGAGACCATTTCTTTGGCAACAAAAAACAACAAAAATCAAAATTTTTATATTAACTACAAACTGAAATTAAGTAATGAATTATCATTACATTTTACGTGACACATGCTGATTAAAGTTGTAAAAAAAACCATTTTTTTTACGGTTACAACGTTTATCACACAACTTTTTGTAAGGTAAGAATTTGACTGTTTACAGAGTTGCATTTACACAGTTTACTTTATTATTGAGTAGTTTTGAACATATTATGTTCTCTTAATAATTTAATAAATCTGAAACACTGTAACACAATTTTAAGTTTAACACGATCAATAACGTATTGCACTTAAATTGTTTAATTGTTTAAATATGCTTTGAACTATACTACAGTTTTACTCGCAGATAAGCAGTATACGTTGTTTTAAAAATTTTTTGTTTGTATAAATTACTAATCAACGTATTGTTACGCTTTCTTTTTTAATCCTTTTTTTATTGTTCAAAATTTCGATTCACTTAAACTCTAAGATTAACAATAAGGTATTAAAAATTTTAAGAAGTATCTAAAATAGTTTAGTGATTCTCTCATTATCAGCCACTTTGTTATTTTATCTAAATTCAAAAGTACTGTTTTGTACATCGTAACGAAAATATTGTCGGTAATTGTAAGTTTTTTAACTTAATAAATTCAAGTTAAATAATTAATGTCCAATAACCCGCCTTTTAATAAAGAAGTATATATCTGTGTATATAATAATTTCACTATGAAAGATTTCGTTACCTTTTACTTAGAATTAAAAAAAAATTGTTTCTTGAACTATAGTACATTACTTTTTCCTTTAGATCACCACTACTTTTATAGTAGTTATTGCTAAAACTGAAAGATTAATTAAAGTATCAAATTTAGATCATATATTTAAGCAGTCTTAAAGTAGTTATGTTATTGTTTACCTGATATACATATCAGATTTAATATATCTACCTTTTCCTTTTTATTTTGTAAAAAATACTGTATTTTTTTGGAAGGAGCTCATTTGTTCTTACAATATTTTTTTAAATATTTAGAATGAGAACATGGAAATATAAGAATCGATAGTTTAACTAACTACCATTCAATTTTTAAGAAATAAACATTTAATTTCGGGTACAAAAAATACATATTCACAAACTAATAGACAGGCTAAACCGAAATAATGTTGAGTTTTGCACTTCTTATGCATTGTTAGTTAAGCGTATAAAAATTTTACACTGTTTACTTAAATAATAACTTACAAATTATAATAGCTTATTTTTATTATTTTGTTAATCTGGTTCAAAATATTAATAAAATTAAAAGTTACATGTAATTGAAGTTTTCGTAAAAAACTTTTTTTAAGATAACAATTTTATGAAAACAATTTTTTAAGACACAATCTTGAAGAGAATCAGTACACTTTATTTAAATAGTTCTTGTCACTTTTACAATGCTACATGTATCTGAACTGATTATTTAGATACAATCAAAAACTGCGATTGCAACAAAAAATGTCGACTTTTTCTAGCATAACCAGATTAGTTTCTGCATTTTTTGCAGAAGAAGATAATACTCCTGTGATTTATAAGTTGGATTATGTATCTGAGGAGTATAGGTTATGAACAAAGATTTAAAACCTATCTGTACAGCCTTTTTCAAACAAAACTAAGGAAAATCATTGTATTTTTCCATTGCTACTCATACTTTTATATGATTCTCTCCGTACTGCGAGAAATGTTCTATGAAATGAGCCAATACATGCGTCAGAGAATTTTAATATCAATACTACAGCACGAAGTGAAAAATACATTGAGCCATCCCCGAAATTGTGACTAACACCACCACAACAACACCAAACTAATCGAACATTGACGTCCACTGCTCCCACCAATTACAATGTTTGGTGAGGCCACGTATCCACTCGCAGCAATTACGTGCTACTTTTTCTCCTACTCTCCAAATTCAACGGCCAATCACCTTCAACATGTGAGCTTTTTTTTCTACCCTACTGTGGTTAACGCAAGCTCGACAAAATGCTTTTTCCCTAAGTTTTCGATACTTTTGGTGTCTTTTGATATTTCATTCTTAAGTGTTCAAACTATGTAATAATCTTTTGTATGTTGTATGTCGATATGCTTACAATACAAAGATTTTTTTGCAGATGGTTTACGGGAAACTAGTAAAAGTAAAGACATGTTGACTTACCTATGTGTAATAGAATCTGATTTGATCTACTTTGCACTACTAGAGATTAATTTAGTTACTAAAGAGAAAGTCTAGTTGAAAATAATATAACACTTAATGTTTCTATTTTTTACAATCTGAAAACTCTCAGGAACAGCAACTATTTGGGAAGGATATAAGGTTTCGAATTGTTATTAGGAATTTTCATTTAAAGCCGTTTAGAATGGTTGAGAGTCACTAAATAATTTTCATGATGACTTTGTTTTTTACGAGAACTACGTTAATCGAAGGACTTCTACTATTTTTTTGGACGTACATGTTTTAATTTTATGAAAAGTGTGTGCCTTTTTTTCGATAAGTCAGAAATCTGAATTGATTTCTTGCAAAAGTATTGCACAATTAAAAAGTGATTTTTTTTAAAGAAAAAATATGATTAACCTGATGGCAACCACATTTCTATCTGCTTTAAAGAAAATTTTCAAGATAGTCAATGCTAAAGTTTGCTTACGGTCATATTGATATTAGGGAGCCTTACTTTGAGACATTACGTATTGCCTGTAATCCACGCGTAACATCATGCTTTCTCGAAAAAAATACAAATATTCTGAAGAAAAAGTTTCAAATTATAATCCGAAAAATGAAGATTATGTCAAAAAATTTGAGTTGAAAGTCAGTAGCTGTGAACGTTTTTGTCTTAAATTCATGAAGAAAACACGCTGTCGTCTCTTACTTGATGATTTTAACCGTATTGATCAAACTTACCAGGATATAGATTTTAGCAGATCGCAAGAGCTTTTTACGTATTCTTCATGAGTTTTTTGGTATGAATACAATATTTATATAAGTATAATAATGTCGTCTTTATTATTTTAAAATGTCGAGCTGAAACTTTCAGAGGTACACAATCGTCTCCTATTTACAGAAACGTATTGGAAATTTTATATAAGCATGACAACTGTTATTCGAGAGCCCACACTTGCAAAAAAAGTGAAAATGGAATAGAAAATCGGGAGCTCTTTTTATTTTTCTTAGTAAACTGAGGTATGCGTTCACAACAAACAAGAAACGAAAGCTGTGACAACTGCACACTCGTTATGTAAGTCCTCTATACATATTTGTGACATTACTTTTACTGAACTTTCTTTCAATAAGACATGTTTCGAATATATGGCATGAGTCCCTTAATAATTAGAGTGGAGACGTTATACAGGGCATGTCCTCGGGCATGTCCTAATTCAAAGGTATGTATGTCTGCATTCAGGACCTAATACAGTGTCAGAAAAAAAAATATCAGACTTGCTCTAATGTCAGAAAAACACGCTAGCTATTGAAATTCAGACTAAAAAGTAGACTCTCTGACATATTTGACACAACAACTCTTAACTGAACTCTTCGTGAGCATCCCCTTTATTCAAGTAACTCTAAGCTTTTGGTCGTGACAACTTTTGGACTTTTCATTTCTAATAGTAAGTCCTTTGCTCAGCATGTCAATTTTACTAGCTGCATGATGAATACAATTGGCTATTTTCATTACAAGACGATAGAGATTTTACATTCCGATAGTGAAAATGAGTTCAACATCCCTCGGAAAAATACGAGATAATAGTAATATTGCGCTTCGATAGTAAAAGTACATTGATCTAAATTACGCGAGATAGTAGACGTTATATCTAGTACTAAAGTTACATGCAGCTTTTACTCTTAATGGGGGTAAGGGAATCTCGCATTGACTACATTAATGTACATGTATATTTCTACCTAATTTATGGTTCATGGTTCGCGCTCTCACACTATAATAAATAATTGTAATAAGGATTCAAAGTAAATTTATCATCAGTGCTCTTACAAATTTGTAATCAGTAAGTATAAGGTATAAATTTGATAGCAAAGAACTCTCCGAACCACTGTGCTAAGATAGCTTTAAGTGAAATTGACGATTTTAACGAGATTTACTCTTTTTTGACACTCACGCGTACGTAGGAGATGTCCATGGTACCTCTTTACACACATACCTTCTAACAGTAATTATTGAAGGTTCGAAATGGAGAACCGTATTATAAACCTTTGCCTTTAAAAAAAGTTTTAGTAAGCAGCATAAATTAATAGACAATTATATTAGATATTTTTCTGCAACAAAGCACGTACCTAAGCGCACGCTAGCAAGTATCTTTAACAATGTTAGCCACGGAAACTTTTAGTAGACGAGATAACGGGAATCAATTATAAACGATAGTAATGTCATGAACGCTACACGTACAGCAGCAACACTGGAAATGGTTTCATTGTTCGTTAGTTGCTTGTGAGACTTTTCTCGTCTAGCACCTAAGCAGTTATATCACAGTATTTGTGGAAAATGTCCGATGATATGCAGGAACAGATGCTTGACATCCATGACCAAATTCATGAAGAATCTAAGAAGGCTGGCTTTTGCTTTTCCGGCCGTGAGGCTTGTCTGATTATGTCTTCTAGGAATGATACCAGAGTGTCAAGACAATTGGATCTGATACCCAGCAAAGATTATTGCCCTTTATTTGTTGGCGATAAGGTATGGTGATTTTGAAATTGCTTTTACGTACCTGAAGTTCTGTGAGATTTTTTATTAAATTCAATGGAATTTTCTTTTTTTAAAAGAGGGTCCAGCAGACGGAATTTGACTACACGGAATTAAACAAGGACACTATTAAGGTCATTGTAAGTATCAAAATTTTTTAAGTTATACCTTTATAGGCGCGTTACTCATGAGGATAAATCAACGGTTTTTAAATAGCTGCCTTGAGAAAAAGTATGACAGAAGTGGATTTTGCTTCATCATCTCCACTTCGCCTCACCCACCGAGACGTACTTCCGGTCCACTTTACACCACCTAACGCAACCACACTACACGACACATTTTAAATATTATCAATTGTTTTTTTCCCTTCTAATTGATTGAAACAAAAAGGCCCTTACCCTCTCTGCTGCAAGCGGTCCCACTTTTAAGATTTTGAGCAGCTAAGCTAGCCATTGATTTTCTCATGTTGATGTACTCACGAAGACGCTTTTACACACACTTGTTCNCATTTAAAGCCGTTTAGAATGGTTGAGAGTCACTAAATAATTTTCATGATGACTTTGTTTTTTACGAGAACTACGTTAATCGAAGGACTTCTACTATTTTTTTGGACGTACATGTTTTAATTTTATGAAAAGTGTGTGCCTTTTTTTCGATAAGTCAGAAATCTGAATTGATTTCTTGCAAAAGTATTGCACAATTAAAAAGTGATTTTTTTTAAAGAAAAAATATGATTAACCTGATGGCAACCACATTTCTATCTGCTTTAAAGAAAATTTTCAAGATAGTCAATGCTAAAGTTTGCTTACGGTCATATTGATATTAGGGAGCCTTACTTTGAGACATTACGTATTGCCTGTAATCCACGCGTAACATCATGCTTTCTCGAAAAAAATACAAATATTCTGAAGAAAAAGTTTCAAATTATAATCCGAAAAATGAAGATTATGTCAAAAAATTTGAGTTGAAAGTCAGTAGCTGTGAACGTTTTTGTCTTAAATTCATGAAGAAAACACGCTGTCGTCTCTTACTTGATGATTTTAACCGTATTGATCAAACTTACCAGGATATAGATTTTAGCAGATCGCAAGAGCTTTTTACGTATTCTTCATGAGTTTTTTGGTATGAATACAATATTTATATAAGTATAATAATGTCGTCTTTATTATTTTAAAATGTCGAGCTGAAACTTTCAGAGGTACACAATCGTCTCCTATTTACAGAAACGTATTGGAAATTTTATATAAGCATGACAACTGTTATTCGAGAGCCCACACTTGCAAAAAAAGTGAAAATGGAATAGAAAATCGGGAGCTCTTTTTATTTTTCTTAGTAAACTGAGGTATGCGTTCACAACAAACAAGAAACGAAAGCTGTGACAACTGCACACTCGTTATGTAAGTCCTCTATACATATTTGTGACATTACTTTTACTGAACTTTCTTTCAATAAGACATGTTTCGAATATATGGCATGAGTCCCTTAATAACTAGAGTGAAGACGTTATACAGGGCATGTCCTCGGGCATGTCCTAATTCAAAGGTATGTATGTCTACATTCGGGACCAAATACAGTGTTAGAAAAAAAAATATCAGACTTGCTCTAATGTCAGAAAAACACACTAGCTATTGAAATTCAGACTAGAAAGTAGACTCTCTGATATATTTGACACAACAACTATTAACTGAACTCTTCGTTAGCATCCTCTTTATTCAAGTAACTGTAAGTTTTTGGTCGTGACAACTTCTGGACTTTTCATTTCTAATAGTAAGTCCTTTGCTCGGCATGTCAATTTTACTAGCTGCATGATAAATACAATTGGCTATTTTAATTACAAGACGATAGAGATTTTACATTCCGATAGTGAAAATGAGTTCAACATCCCTCGGAAAAATACGAGATAATAGTAATATTGCGCTTCGATAGTAAAAGTACATTGATCTAAATTACGCGAGATAGTAGACGTTATATCTAGTACTAAATTTACATGCAGCTATTACTCTTAATGGGGGTAAGGGAATCTCGCATTGACTACATTAATGTACATGTATATTTCTACCTAATTTATGGTTCATGGTTCGCGCTCTCACACTATAATAAATAATTGTAATAAGGATTCAAAGTAAATTTATCATCAGTGCTCTTACAAATTTGTAATCAGTAACTATAAGGTATAAATTTTATAGCAAAGAACTCTCCGAACCACTGTGCTAAGATAGCTTTAAGTGAAATTGACGATTTTAACGAGATTTACTCTTTTTTGACACTCACGCGTACGTAGGAAATGTCCATGGTACCTCTTTACACACAGACCTTCTAACAGTAATTATTAAAGGTTCGGAATGGAGAACCGAATTATAAACTTTTGCCTTTAAAAAAAAAGTTTTAGTAAGCAGCAAAAATTAATAGACATTTATATTAGATATTTTTCTGCAACAAAGCACGTACCTAAGCGCACGCTAGTAAGTATCATTAACAATGTTAGCCACGGAAACTTTTAGTAGACGAGATAACGGGTATCAATTATAAACGATAGTGATGTCATGAACGCTACACGTACAGCAGCAACACTGGAAATCGTTTCATTGTTCGTTAGTTGCTTGTGAGACTTTTCTCGTCTAGCACCTAAGCAGTTATATCACAGTATTTGTGGAAAATGTCCGATGATATGCAGGAACAGATGCTTGACATCCATGACCAAATTCATGAAGAATCTAAGAAGGCTGGCTTTTGCTTTTCTGGCCGTGAGGCTTGTCTGATTATGTCTTCTAGGAATGATACCAGAGTGTCAAGACAATTGGATCTGATACCCAGCAAAGATTATTGCCCTTTATTTGTTGGCGATAAGGTATGGTGATTTTGAAATTGCTTTTACGTACCTGAAGTTCTGTGAGATTTTTTATTAAATTCAATGGAATTTTCTTTTTTTAAAAGAGGGTCCAGCAGACGGAATTTGACTACACGGAATTAAACAAGGACACTATTAAGGTCATTGTAAGTATCAAAATTTTTTAAGTTATACCTTTATAGGCGCGTTACTCATGAGGATAAATCAACGGTTTTTAAATAGCTGCCTTGAGAAAAAGTATGACAGAAGTGGATTTTGCTTCATCATCTCCACTTCGCCTCACCCACCGTGACGTACTTCCGGTCCACTTTACACCACCTAACGCAACCACACTACACGACACATTTTAAATATTATCAATTGTTTTTTTCCCTTCTAATTGATTGAAACAAAAAGGCCCTTACCCACTCTGCTGCAAGCGGTCCCACTTTTAAGATTTTGAGCAGCTAAGCTAGCCATTGATTTTCTCATGTTGATGTACTCACGAAGACGCTTTTACACACACTTGTTCCCTTTCTTTTAAGTTACTATAAAAATCAACTTGTGGATCCTTTTGATAATTGGATAAGTTTATCCAAAAGTAATCTTTTTTACCAAAAGAAATAAGGAGATTTCTAAAGATCGTATAAATGCAATTTTACGCAGTTTTTTTACAAGGTTACATGTTTAAATGCGATTTTTTAAAACTACAGTTGACTTTTAACAAAAAAAAAGATCTGATAAAAGAGTACAGTCTTGTACTGGCCAGCCTACATATTATTAATATTGTTTTGTGCGCTAACATATTGTTCATAATCGTTAATTTATTTGATATTAAATTATTAACTAAACCCATACTCAATCAATATATATATGATTGGTATACTCATCCATACGATAATTAAACCACCTATGTACATAATATTGTTTTATAGAAGGTATTTTTATACCCAGAATTGTAGTGTATTCCATGTAATATAATGGGCGTATAACTTTATTTTCTTTGTCTTTTTTTTTTTAATAACTTTTGAAGCATATATGTTTTGTAGAGGTTATACTAAAGTAGAGTAGAAATGTCTATAAAGATTTCCAGGGAGCAGGAAAAACATCAAATTAATAAATTTTTTTGTTACAAAGGGTGGAAAATGTGCATGGAGTTGATGTTATTCAAACACTGATCAATAAGTGATTAGGCTCTAAAAAAACAGTTTCGTTTATAATTTTTTTTTTTATCTTTGAGTCGAAAACATAGCTAGAAATAGTTTGTTCAACATGTGATTATCTCTCAATTCATGTTTGTAAAATCATATCACACCTACTATTCCGAAAGTTATAGAGCAAAAAAGTACAAAAATAGCTTTTTAAAATTTTGATTTTAGAAAATTATGAATTGAAACATTTTTAATAAAAATAGTTAAATATTGACAATTTGTTACCACTTACAGGGATCCTGAACCATGCAGAACGATTTTTATCTTACATGGAAAATGATATCACAAAACGATTGTTCATTTTAAACTCTTATTGGCTGCTCTGGACTTTAAAGTATATATAGAATAAATTTCATAAGTTAATATTATTAATGAGGCAAGGGTCTTTAATTTAAAATAATTTTTTTTTTTTTATTCTGACTCCTATTTAAGAAAAAAATCTATTATGCAACATAAATAAATTGTTACATTTTACTGTAACGTAACCAATTGAACTCAATAAAGTATACTTTTAAACGGATTGAAATTTATAATAACTGTATTAACGTGCTTCGAACGATACTTATTATCAATTTCATGTTTTTTTACAATTGTTTTTCTTGAAGTGTTTTTCAATTTTAAAAGAATTCATCTATTTCGTCTAAATATTTTTAGATACTTAATTAAATTGATAATTGTTACATTCATTACCAATAACCGAGCATAAAGATCATACTTGCGAATACTATTACATGCTTTGCATTTGGTTGTCTGCTTGCTAAATAAAAAAATTATGGCGCTTAATGAATACGTGTTGTAATTAATTTATACTGTTTTTTAACATTAATTGTTATATTCTTTATGGATCTGAAACAAACGTTTTAAGATGTTCTCTATGTTATGAGAAATACATGTATAAATAACAAAAAATATTTTATATTTTTTGATTTTTTGGTTTCGGAATGTAGTGGCTGTCGCAACTACTAGTATGATTATTAACAATTTAAATTATCTTGTGCTCTGTTCTCTGAGATTCCCCTATTACATCCTTATCCTCATTTTAGCTTAAAGAAATCTCTTTTTTTAGATGACCTTAATGTGTGCCTTATAATTTCTTCAAAGCAAAAATTGTAAGCACTCATGAGTCGTTTAGGAATGAGTGGCTGCAGAGTGTCAACAGAAAGTAACGCTAAATAATGTAAATGAAGTTTATGGCATACTTTTTGCTTACTATTTGCCTAAAAAGGGTTGCCAACATACAACTGAAACGTTGTACACACTTCGAATTAAGAATAAACTTTTCGACAGTATGCCATAAAATTTATTTACGTTATTCATTTTTTTCTGCTGTCGTTAAAATCAATAAATTAAGAAAGTAAGGCTGTTAAGAAAGTTACACTGTTAAAAAAAGTACCTTAAACTAGGGTTTTCTATAAGTACAGAGTGCACAGTAGGATCCATAAATTTTTAAAGGTGGCAAAGTAAATTTTATTATTCGCATACGTCGACGACTAAATGCATACAATGTATCGTTCCGAAATGGGTACAGCACGTGAACTGTTGAAGTATAATGTTTTTCAATTGTTATTAATGTATATAAAAATGTATTAATTTATGTAAATCAACAAAAAATATTCTGCAAAAGTAGAAGAATTTTTTATTTAAGTCGAAACAACGAATAGAATTTAGGCAATCGTAAGAAAATATGCTACTAATAGTGATAAAATACTTGCTATAAATACGTCATTAACATTTTTTAATCGTATTAAAATAGACTCTTTCAAGTAAAATTGGTTGCGATTCGGTCAAATCCAAAACATCGAAGTTAAGGTTTAAATTTTAAATTTCAAAGAGTTTTTATTAAAAATAAATAAGTTAATAAAATTTTAAAACTCGAATTTCGAATAGAAATTTTCGAATTTTTTACACAAGGTATTACTTTGCGGTAAACAAACCAATCATAGTATCCTTTGGTACATTAACAAATAAAAAGCAAATTATCGATAGACATTTTCAATATGGTACCTACAAAAAAGATACACTCAAAATTAAAAAAGAAAATCTGAAAAATATTTAGCATTTGTTTAGTAACAAACAGAGATGGTGCGTTTATTCGTAAACCTATTTTTCTATGTAATCTGGTCAGAATAAATAGCAATTTCAACAATTTTGATCGTAGTTAACAAAAAATTTTATATCACGTTCTCCATCTATCTGTCCATACTAGTTATTTAATACAATGCTTTTATTTTTCAGGTCAGAGAAAAATCGGTATTAGTTCAGGGTACCAAGAAAAATGAACTAAATGAAGCCACTATGACGTTTGACATCCCAGATCAGTGTGATTTGAATAGAGTCGAGGCAGGATTCCTCTCGAACAACGTTTTATATATTCGTT